TTCCATGTCCTTACCTTTTTTTATTTAAGTATGGAGAGACATCTGAATGCTCTGAAGCAGTTGTCACTATGTACATAGTTTTTCTCTTGGCATAATGGATGGATACTGTGATAACAAGTTACCACCATTGAAAAGTACTACTGGGCTCCATGTGTGTACCGTGGTCCAACAGTGTAGTCAATATGAGTTTCATAATTAGAAATCCCAGTTATGGGACATGAGGAAATGCAGCATAGTCCTAACTTATCTTTTATGAATGGTGACATATTAAATGCAATTTCCCTTTTATGGTAGGTCATTGCTTTTTTTTATGAAGTCGGTTTACATCATAAAGTAATAGCAAAACTTGAATGTGTAAGTTCCTCATGCTTGCCCTTGATACTGACCTGCATTTAGCATAGTTGATGTTTTGTCATTCATGGTCATGGTGGCTCTGGAGAAAGCCACACAAACCCAAAACACTCATCACTTCAGTCTGCCTTCATTGTCCTAACCTATATTTCAGCGGGTTCCTCATGAGGCTTGTAGAGCCTGGAAGTGGCGAAGGAATGGACTTGCATTGTCACCAGACCTAGCAATAGTCTCTAGCTTTGCCTTTATATAAAACATGTATTTGGACAACTTCTGTTGAATAATGTCTGCGGCACATTGGGAAAATGATGATGGGAGGGTATGGAGGAGACATTTTTGTGGAAACCGTGACTAAACATAATACATCCACTGTAGTTCCACTCGTTAATCAATAGCATGGTGTCTCAGGCAAACTTGTGGGAAGAATATCTGTGACTCAAGACAGACTAACTTGCTTGCTAGTCATTGGAAATCTCACCCATTTGGTTTGTTAAAAAGTACTTAGGAAAAATGAAAATAATAATAATCAAAAAATTTAAAAAGCTGTATACCTTTGTTTTTAGACTTAGGGCTGAGAGAGTAGTAAGCCATGGTCCTTTCTTACAGAATTATCCTGATTCTCTTTGCCATTTCCACAAAAGTTGTTTTTGTTCTTTTGTTGACCTAGACATTTAAAGCGTAGATTCAACTTTATCAAGAGAGATATCAAGAGAGGTGGTATCATCAACTTATCCAGGGCCCTGGGATCAAAGACAAGCTCCTGGAGTAAGGAGATCCAGTTTTATCTTAGTTCTGCTTCCCACTTTCTTGATTTCCTTAAGGCAATGAGAATGCTTAGAGTACAGTAAAGCATTGAGCCCTGATAATTTACAGTAACTTTAAGAGTGTCTTTGTTTTCGGTTCTGTGTTATTGTAGCCATGAGATTCAGATTAGACTGATATTTAGTCATCACCATACAAACGGAAGACATTTACCAGGGGATTTCAGTAAACCTGTTTCAATAGCACAGTATCTGTAGATTTGATCGTCACAAAACCTTTATGAGCCGGGCAGTGGTGGTGCAAAACTTTAATTCCAGAACTCAGAGGCAGAGGTGGGAGGATCTCTGTGAGTTTGAGGTCAACCCAAAACCAACCAACCAACCAACCAAACAAACAAACAACAACAAAGACCTCTGAGAAGTATCTGACATATCCCCCAGGTCAAGTTCTGCTTTCTCCAGGTCACCTTAGTAGTAAACTTAGCACCATTTACGTAGCTGTGATGTGAAGCTGGCATCATGCTGTTTTGCCTATACTGCATATTTAATCTTTGTCACTTTACAGGGTAATGGAATTCAAATCCAGCTCCACAAATGAAGGATCTGTGGCTTGGAATAGTGAAGTAACTTCTTCAAGACCAGGGTTAATGGAAGGAGCTTTAGAGCCTTGTGCTCAAAATGTAGCACAGCTGAAATTTAGGCCAGGACTACTGTGCCCTTCCCTGCCTGTGATGTTGTGTTACACCATAGCCAGAGTCTGCAGTAACCAGTTGTTACTCACATTTGACTGCATGGCCTCATCTGAGCTTGTGCATCTTCCTGTTGCTACAGTTCCTGCTAGTATATAAAGAAGGGCCCTGTGGAGCCTTGGCACCAGGTCTGTGGAGATTAAAGAGGGTCACATTATGTAGGATGTGTGTCAACACCAGCACATGTCCCCTCTTACAGCTGAAGCCACTCCATCTCCTGATTCTTTTACTAGACCTTTTCATAAGCACTAAGAAGGAAGGGCTGGCTCAAGATTGAAAAGTAACAGAGACACTTTAAAAATATCTATTTTCAATAGCATGCATTCCACAATTCAGAGGATCAGCTAAACGTTGATATGTAAGAAGGAGGACCAAAAAAGTTGAGAATCCTGTTTATGGAAAACAATAAACCTGTGAGAATGCATAGACTAGACTGTCCTGGTGCTGACTGGCTAGATCTAAATTAGCTACATTGTTAAAGCAGAGATTTGCACTTTTCCCTGAGCCTTGAAGCTGAGCTGAAAGTAAAGACAGAGTGCAGTGTGTCTGGGCTTTTCTTTTGACCTTTCCAGAATCCTAATTAAGGATATTGCAGATGTCTTATAAATGGATCAGTCTGCAATTGGTTGCCAAAGTGTTTATACTCTGTCTGGATCTAAATGGTGCCCAATGGCCCTTGTAGATCAAGAGCCCAGCTGTAATTGATCATTTTCTCATCAGTGAGCCTAAAGAAATTTACTTTTAATCTCATTTATGGACTCTTCCAAACCCTGCCAATATATATTTATAGAATATATAGTATTTTATACTTCTTGCTGGTTTTTAGATATTGCTCTTCTGGTATTTTTTAGGGCCAGTTTACTTTTCTAGTTTATCTTAGATCAACACTGAAAATGTAAAGAAATATAATTGAGTGGGATTGATACATTCCTTATTTTAATGTCTGTATTATGTATAGTTATTTCACAGACTTCACCTTCCCCAGCTCGTTAAGCATGTTTGGAATACAGAGAAGTTTAGGAAGCTGGTGAAATTGCATTGAGAAGCTAGCTGAGGAGCAGCCTGCCTGCTAGACACTATGAGTTCATGGATGCCATTAGTGAGTGCTGTCCCACCTTGAATCTTTGGCCCATAAACAACGTCATCTAGATCCTGATAAGTAGGAATGATGGTAGAGAAAGAAGAGAGCCAAATTTAAGTAAGGTCTGAACTGGGGAATGCTTTCTGATTGCAAACTTAGCAGAGCCATGGTTTGTTTCAGAGTCTTGACCCATACTTAAATCACATGGGAAAGTTTGCCTGTGGTGTGTTCTAGGATGATTTATTTAATTATTTACTACCTATTTTTGAAACAGAGTCTACTATAGCCCAGACTGGTCTCAAGTTTTCTACATAGCCCAGGATGATGTTGGACAGACAATTGTCTACCACTGTTCCACCCCTCCCATCTGATTCTTTAACTAGCACTGAGGTTGAAACCCTGGGCGCCGTGCTAGCTGGACAGACACTCTCACAGCTGTGATAAATCTTTAGACCCGTCCCATGTTTTGATCAAATTGAATAGTATAAGAAAATATACTGTATGCTCTTTTTTCAAGAACAAAAAACTACTAAAACCCTAGTTTTGCTAATAATACTTTGCTAATTTTTTTAAATTTTATTTTAGGAATCTTGTATTGTTGCTTAGGCCAAGCGATCTTTAGTGTACTTGACTCTCTTGGATTTGTAATGAAACACAATAAGAAAGCATATCATATGCACAAGTTAGAGGGGCTGTGGTAGGCAGGACCTTCTGGCTAATATTCATACAATGTCCAGTCTTCAGTGACCAAACTAGATTATAATGTTGACCCAAACTAGGACCTAGGCCATGCATTTCCTCTCTTTTAGTTTCTTTGCCTTGTCTATTTCCTTTGTGTGTATTTATTCTCATTCATTTCCCCTGGAGAAACACTCTTCACCAGATTTCTTAACTGACCGTGGATAACTAATTTGAGTGCCTGTGACTGAGACTCAGGCTTGGTAGACCCTAGGGAAGATTAGTGAGTAGCTATGTGCTTTTTGTCCTTCTAATGGATCTCATTATATGTATCAATCATCAAACACTGTCATGCATTTCTCCTTCAAGTTTTATATAGACAAGGTCTGAAACACAGAGAGCTAAAATGAGTCTGGAGTTTGACTGAGTGGGGGAGAAATCAAAGAGCAATTTTTACATCAAATGTTGAATAAATGATATGATTCTCAGATAAAAGCTTAATAGACATTGTTTCATATTGCCATTAATTATGTCCTCTGTATAACAGTTTTAAGTGCAAACCTTCCCTTCAGTAGAAAAAAGAATCTATCTGATAAAAATGAAATATTTAATTAAAATACTGCATTTTAATTTTCAGACCCATAAAATAAAATACTAATGAAATGTTTCCAAAGTAAAGGTTGGTTTAATAAATAAATTCTTCAGCAAGGTGCATCTTAAATCTACAAATTATGCCTTATTATATGAAAATAAGTTTAAATTTTGATTTGTATCTCATTATATTTATATTGTTTAGTGTTTTTCACACATTTTGTAAATATAGACTTTATCATGCACAGTTCAATTTTCTAAACACTACAAATTCCTAATGCTTAACCAGTGAATCTCCAAAGTGTGAGATTTTGCTATACATGAAGCTGGTAATCACCGTAATAATAGGCAGGCATTTCTTCCATTAGACAAATGCATACTGAATATGCACTAAAAACAGAATGATAGATAGTAAAGATACCAACATAAGATTCTAAACTTTTAGTAACTGCTCCCAAGTTTTGGATAGCATCTGTTCTTCTCAAGTAGATTTCTTTAACTTTTCATTTTCCTATAAGATAAACTGGTAAAGCACTAGTGTGTGGTTGATTAAAAATAACAGAAACAAATTTAATATCATCTCTTACATATTTTTCATACATATCTGCTTCAATCTTTGTTTTATTTTAATGTGAGAAGAATACAGTTACAATACATATCCTATCCTTTCATGGTGTTTACATGTTGCTTCAGAATTTTTAATGCCCTGACCTGTGTTTTAAAGGTCACTATGCATTTAGTTTGTTTCTATTTTATTTTTCATAGACAAAAATTGTTCTTTTCTTACAGTTAATCTCTCAGTATCTAATGATACTACACTAGCCCCAGAAGACCTGCCAACAGTTGCTTCTACTGACATGGTAAGTAACATATTTCAAACTTCCCACACAGTTTATAATTTATGCATTGTGCTATGTGGTCTCCATTTAGCTGTGTTGATTGTAATTGCACATAGAGGGAAAGGAAATAAAATCTAACCTGTCATCACTATAGTTAGCTTTTCATCTTCTTTAAAAGACGTGAAACCAACATTTACCCATATAACATTACTTTTTAAACCTTTTTAAAGAGTCTAATGCTAGATCCCATTCATTGTGACCTTGAAACATTTCTATAAGAGCAGTGAGAATGCTGGGAAACAAGAACTAATATTGTCTATTTCTGGCCTGACTAGGCATTTGTCTGGCTGACCAATTGGTACTGCTCTCCCTTCTCTAAGGATGCCAGTTGCCGGACATTTCCCCCATTACTTAGAAAGGACAGAGTCTCCATCACATCGTGTCCTTTCCCATGGCTTGTAACCAAGGACCTTTAAGGCACTTGAACTAAGTTTTAAAAACGAGCTGTTTTGCATGGAAGATCACATGCTGGGAGAAAACTTTTATATTGGAGAAAATGGGGAAAGAGCTGTCTCAGGCTTCTGATTATTCCTTCTATTCCAAATATGGAAGCTGACCAAAGAATATCAATCTCCCAGTTACAAAGACAGAAAACATAATACCTTGTATTGAGAGAGTGCCCATCTCTCAGGAGACCAGAACACTTCTGCAGATATTGTGTGGCGAGTGTCCACAGCATCCCTTTCAGAGATGCTGTTCGTGTCTTTGCTGGGCAGTTCTCACAGGACCCTGTTTCTCTCTTGTTTTGTATTCTCTGGCTTTCTTGACTTCATTACTTACTGCTAGAATTTTCTTTGACTCCTTTCGAACTTTATGTCTTTATTTCTTTGTATCATACTGTGTGAGAGAGAGAGTGTGTGTGTGTGTATCTGTATATGTATGTGTGTGCCAGTGAGTGTGTATGTGTGAATATGTGTGTGTGTGTGTCTGTTTATGTGTAGGAATATATCTACATGTTGAAAGTCACTGTACAAGAATTCAGATTTTAGTTTCTTTACCAGCCAACCCAGAAGAACTTGCCTAAAATAGAGGAGGAAATGCTTTCTTCTAGGTTTAAAGAATTTTAGTTAAAATTCTTTTTGTGCTTTTAAAAAGAAGCTGATAAAAACCAATGTTTATTTGAAATAAAGATTTTAAAGACAGTTGCTTTCACATTGCTTCTTAGCCTTCCAGGTCCCGCAGGGGCCAGTTCTGCAGCTAGCTGGTCCTGAGCAGAGCTGCTGCTCGCAGCCAGTGTTACTGTCCTCAGATATTCTGCCCTCCACTGGCCTGTGTTCCCTCAGTAACTGTGATTGTTAGCGAAGGAGAAGCCATTACTTCAGAGAGGCACAAGTCCTCTGTGTGCTGCGGCATACTGGCTCTTCTTCCCTGAACTCCTCCTGGGACATATGGCCATCAGGACTGAATTTCGTTTTGATCCATAAGTTATGAGAGAGGTGCAGTAAAGGTGACGTGCTGCCCCTAGCCAGTGAGCCTTCTTCTCCTAAGGCCCTAGGAGGGAAGGTCCATCCCCTTCATCCTCATTAACATGAAGACAAGCTGCCCTGTGCAGTGGGCATGTTTCAGATGGAAGGGCAGGGAAGAGAGACATTCCAGCCTCCAGACAGATGGGAACTGCCCAGACAAGCTTCCCTGAGGACTAGGGCAGTGTTTCTGGTGTTTTCCTTTATTGCTGTAATTATTTTATCCTCACCTCTGCCCCCTTTCCTATTGATGCCTTGCTGGTTACTTCTCTCTACCTTGCAAACAAATTCTTTATCTGGTCGCTGAAGAAAAGGCTCTGAGAGGAGTTGCAGCTGGTGGCATACTGTGTCTGAATGAGATAGGATCTAATAGCTTCAGCTTCTAGCTCAGTGTCAAAATGTAACATCAGTATCCCCAGAGATGACTGAATGAATTGCTTAGTATTAGCTCCTTGCACGCGATTCCTCTCTGTCCTTATTTTAAGTTCCTCAGAGGCATCCCTTTAATACCCGACTCAGATGAGCTCACGTTGATGAGTTTGCAGTGGCATGCTCTATGTCACAATCAAGACATAAACCGTTCCTGTTTCCCAGGAAGCCCTATGGGATAGTTCTGTTGACTTCTCAGCTTTCTGAGAGAAGAAAGATCATCCTGGTCTTTGGAGGGCAGATGCCTCATTCCTTTCAAGAAGACACTGAATCCGGCACTTGCTGCCCAGTGGGTGTCTTTTACTATGAGGGACTTGTAACATTTCAAAGTTCAGTTTATTTAAATGTCTTTATGTCCTCATCTCTGGTGGATTTTAAACTCTCTGATTTTACAAACTACCTAGCTTGCTTTGCATGTCTGTCTGGGAGCAATAATCTCAACTTTTCAGAGAAATAATCTTAGTCACGAGCAGAATAACCACTATATTTCAGTATTTCATGAGAACTGCAGCTCAAATATATGCTGTACATGATAAAGTAAGATTGGAGATTATGCAAATATAGCCTGCCTATGGTGGGAAAAGCCCTAAGTGAGAAGATCAGCTACTTTTCCTTGAAGCTTCTGTATAATGTCACTGTCAATCATACCTAAAAGAGCACCTTTTACCAGTCTGTGTGTGTTGAAGGAGAAGAGTGTAAATCTTTATTATTTATTTACTCTGTTATACTACCCAATGAAATTCACAATGTCTATACTGGAGAGTTTCTTAAGCAAGGATTAAGAATTATTATAGTCACATCATTCTACTGGACAGTTTGACATAGCAGCAATAGTGGTTTGATCTGATGTACCTTCAGGATGAGTCAGGGAGTTAACATTCATTTTCATGGGAATCTGAATGTCGTATTAATGTTCTTATACATGGCATTCTTATGGTTTTCTCCCATTGAGAAAGTTAGGTGTCAAAACCATCCTATCCTTAAATATGTTTAAAGACACACATGTTCCTACTTTAAAAATCTGTTGTAGAAAACTTCATATATGCACTCATGTTTGCTACTTTGGGGGAAGGGGACAATATGGAACTTTATTTTTAAGAAAATCCTTGTATTTCTGAGAATTGTCAAATCCACTTCGTATATTTGAAAATGCGATGCAGAAAACTGATTTGATGTCTCTTCAGGAGATTGTTCTTTCTGGAAATTCTCAGCTGCTTCTCTTTTTAGAAACCTTTTCCCTTGCTACCCCCTTTACACACTGTAGTTTACTGCAGATGACCACTTTGAAATAGCTCCTCCATGGTGAGCATGGTTGTTCTTAACACAGGGGTCTCTGTGTCTTCATGTGAACGTCTCTGCTCACAGTATCTAATTCTTCTCCCGTGTGTCTGTCGACGCATAAAGAAATGGAGGGCCTCACCCTCCCTGGGGAAATGAGGGGATATTGGGGGGGTTGGGGGGAGGGCATGGGAGGAGGGGAGGGAAACGGAGAGGGACCTGGAACTGACTTGTGAAGCAACCTTATTTCTAATCTAAATTTAAACTTAAAAATAAATTAAAAAAAAAGAAATGCACATCAAATCTGTTGCTCATTTTCCTCATCCATTGGCTTCATTCCCTGTTATTTCTTAGCTTTGCTAACCTGCTTTTCCTGATACCTCAGGACTCTGTGCAAATATTGTCTTCTCTGTACTCAGTGTAATATCTGGCTTCCTCATCTGTTCTCATAAACATGCACTTACACTGTTTTTTTAAACCACCTTATATTATTAAGCAATTTTTTGAGCAAATGTTTTATTCCTCTAAGGAAATTATAGACATTGTTGCTGGTTTTTTTTTTCATCTTTCTTACTCCCTTTAAGCTTATATTAGTTCACACGTTTATTTGGGTTCACTGCATTCTCGAATTCCTGGTGGGAATTTTTTAAAATCTCTACTGGTTGTTGTTATTCAAAATATCCTATCAAATGAATAACATTGCCAGATTTGACGAACAAAATAAGGAATATTCAATTACATTTGAATTTCAGGAAAATATTAAATAATTTTAGTGTATGTTCTGAATAGTGCATAGGACATGCTTGCACTGAAAATGCTTACACATAGTTAAGGTTGAGTGTTAACTGAGCATCTTGTATTTTATCTCGCCATTTTAAACTGAATGTTCACTTTAACTGTATCCTCTGCACAGAGGACTGACAAATTGGCACAGTTCTTCTTTGGATATGCCCCTTACTGGAGCCTGATGAAGGGCTTTATTCACACAGTCAACAGGGCTTCTTGGTGCCTGCCATACCCTAAACTGAGCTCTGCTCTTTCTTTTGTACTGCTATGTGCATAATCCTATTGGTCCTTTGGCTGTATAATTTATCATTTGCAGATTTTGCCCAGCCCTAGGCTACAACCAGTGTCTGTTTGGTTACTTGTCTGTTTTTTTTTTCACTACTCCCTTTTCCTTTTTCATCTCTACAAGTAGTTGAGTTTGGGTGTGTTTTATTATCTCATCCCCTATGAACAGCTTTTATGTTTACTGTCCCTGAGAAACTCATCTTTAAAAGCCTTGCAAATGTTCTTATAATCTAGAGTATCCTCTGCTGCTGTATTTTGTTTTAAAAAGTCTGTAATTGCTAATACAGCTTTTCACTCCTACTTATTCTTCAGCCCATTGTGTTTCTTTCACCTATCATTGTGATCCATCAGTAGCCTTTTGTGGTGTCTCACCTCCCTCATTGGCACTCTGGATGCTCTCCACGTTTTCACTCAGAATGCTTGTAGTTCTGTTGCTCCATTACTCCCAGGTCAGCTCATCGCAACTGATGTCTCAAACCTTTACATCTCTTCTAGCTCTGTTAGACATCTTTCTAAGGACTTCCAAATTCATATCGGTAATCATTGAGGGTGGGCTGCAATATAACTGCTATGCAAAATTGTAAGCATCTTGAGAAAAAAGAGGTAATGTGAGAATTCTAACAGTCATAGATTCTTTGAGATTATACTCCCATGTGTCTGTCCTATTCATAAAGACCAGAGAGTATGTTGCATAAGCCCAGAAAGATAAAAGCCATAGATGTAAGAAACATCTGCAAAGAGATAAAAGACAGTGAGTGGCATGAGATGCTGAGCCTCCTGAATTAACCCACAGCAGACAATGGTGACTTGGACTCAGGTATAACCATGGCTCTGTATGTATTTCTTCATGGTGTAGACTCTATCTGAAGTCTTAAGGAATTAACCTTCACTTAACATCAACTTATATGAAAGAGCAGAAATAACACAAATCATAGAGATGTGTTTTCTGTGATCTTTAAGTTGAACCGATGGTCAGCTACACTGTAGATTTTATGAAAGTCATCAACTTTTTATTTTGAAAATGTTTCGGGTGTTAAGATATTTTCTAGTTGCCTAATGTTTTTATGTGTGAGACCTTAGATGAGATTTGGAGGTTAACTTTTTCAGACAACAATAACAGATTCATTTGGTACTTTTACAATATTGACATTGCCATCTTGAAATAACTAATGGAAGATAAACTGTCTATCTTTGCACCTGTATCTGTGCCATTTTCACTGGAACCTGAATCTGTCTGAGGAAATGGATAAAAATTCCTTTTGGGGTTGTTCCAGTGTATCTTACATCCCTGGGGAAATTCCGGCTATAGAGAGGGACTCTGCTGATTTTATGTTGCTGATGTGAAATTAGGGCACAGTTTTGCTGATTTTAAAGCAAAGAAATATGTTATCAATTATGACCTCTAAACATTGCTCTAGTTTCCTGAAGGCATCCATATGTGGAAATCAAAACACACACGCACACACGCACACACACACACACACACACACACACACACACACACACACACGGCATGATTAATCACCTTGCCAAGTTCGATAAAAGCAGTTATGCAGAACAACTGTGTACAATTGGAGGTAACAGGAAAATATTTCAAGTAAAGATCTAGGGTTGATTTTTATTACCTTGGACAGGCATTTTGTCTTTTGAGCTCTATGAAAACTCCTCCATTTCTGGCCAGACTGGACCACTGTTATCAAGAGAATTCTTAAAATGGCAAAAGTTGTTGATTTATTTGAGCTGATATAGAACTCTTTCATTTAAAAGACAACAGAAATTTGCCATTCCACACTTCTTTGCAGAGTATTTCCAAATAATTCTCATTATCATACAATGTCCTCCTAGCCTGGAACCCAATAAGATGCAAGTTATGAGCAATTAGAAACCTTCTCAGATGAGATATCCAGTCATTTCCACTAACCACACTGACATTCATTTAAGCAGAGAATGTCTGGGAAACAGCTATTGCTGCACAGTATGAACAAATACTCTATGTACAGCAAGACCAACATACTTAAAGGCTAATTATTGAATAAGACTCAAATAAAAGAAATAGAGAGTCTTTTCCACAGGGGAATGAGCCACCAAATAATTTTATCACGGAAAACCATTAGGCAGAGGAGCAGCATTCACCCCTGCGCTGTTGGCTGGCAGAGGAGGAGCACTCACCCCTGCGCTGTTGAATAGCAGAGGAGGAACACTCACCCCTGCACTGTTGAATGGCAGAGGAGGAGCACTCACCCCTGCACTGTTGAATGGTAGAGGAGGAGCACTCACCCCTGCACTGTTGAATAGAAGAGGCGGTGCACTCACCTCTACACTATTGAATAGCAGAGGAGATGCACTCACCCCTGCACTGTTGACTGGCAGAGGAGGAGCACTCACCCCTGCACTGTTGAATAGCAGAGGAGGAGCAATCACCCCTGCACTGTTGAATAGCAGAGGAGGTGCACTCACCCCTGCACTGTTGAATAGCAGAGAAGGATAACTCACCCCTGCGCTGTTGAATAGCAGAGGAGGAGCACTCACCCCTGCACTGCTGAATAGCAGAGGCGGTGCACTCACCCCTGCACTGTTGAATAGCAGAGGCGGTGCACTCACCCCTGAATTATTGACTAGCACAGGAGGTGCACTCACCCCTGCACTGTTGAATACTAAGGGTGAGAAAATTTAGTGGTTTCCTTTAGACTTTAGGTTCTAGAAAAAGTTCCTGAGACTTAGAGGCCATTAACTTGTAGTTGCCCTGTAAGTAAAATAAGTCAATGACTACTGCTTTAGAAGTAGATTCTAATGCAGGAACTTCAATTCTGTGTCACTAGCTGAGAGGGAGCCTCAAAATTCATCAAGAAAATCAGTTCAGGCCAGGAAAATTGTGAACAAGGATGTGTCTCAGCTGAGTTTAGCCTCAGCCTGATTCGGTGGGGAATTCTGGAAGACAATCTGTTCCACGGCCGCTCCCGTCTTTGAGCAGAAGCAAGTAGCTTAGGCAGTGACTGTTGATGTGGTTGTTGGATGATGAAAGGCGGTTTGCAGAGAAGCCGTCAGGTGTGGTTGCATAGGCACTGAGGCAGGTGCACAGGTCTACCCATGACACTAACGGGAAGATTCTCATGTGTGTTAGATCAGAAAATTGGGGGAGTTGCCAGAAAGAAGCACAGAATTGACAACAGGTCAGGAACACTTGAAACTGACCTGTGTGCTTGAGATCATGCGAACACAGGACTGGAGATCTCCCACACAGCTGAAGGGGTGCAAAGGGATCACAGCCATTCCCCTCGTGGTGTTCCCAGTGCTGACCTGGAGTTGACAAGGAAAATGCAATGCTGTATTAGGTTTGCGACTGAGAAGCCAGGGGCATGCACACTTTGATAGTACCACTTCTTCAGTCACTAGGGTGCGCTCACTAGGATGTGGGTTAGTTACCTTCCACGACTTTTAGAGCATTGGTACCATAAGGTAGGTGAATGTGGTCCTAAGTGCACACAAATGAGTGCTTTGTGAGCAATAGAGGTGTTTCTGGAGTCTCCCAGTTTGAGGGTTAGGATATTAATGGATCCCATTTGACCTACAGGAAGGCTGGCAGGAAAGGACTTTATAGTTTGTTGCTGTTGAACAAATGGCTGATTGTAAGTTGGAAGAACAAAGTGCACACCACACTGCATCCCTCTCACTGTGGCTTTTGTAACGCTGGCCTCTTTACCCCCTGTCACTCTAGTAAGTCTTCATCAGGTTACTACATTCTCCAGTGGTTATCTTCAGATTTGTTGTAGGCGGTTCTAGTGCAGTCCCTCCAGATCCCATCAAGTATGGAAAGCTGCTTCAGATGTGTCAGTGTTCTCTAAAAAAAAATTCTTGTTTCATTATTTTCAGTACCACAATGCTACCTTTGACTGGGCCTATTTGTCAAAGAAGGAGTGTTTGAAATACGGAGGCAAGCTTGTGGGAAACAATTGTGATTTTGTTCCTGATATCACACTCATGTCCTTCATCCTGTTCCTGGGCACTTACACCTCTTCAATGGCTATGAAAAAATTCAAAACTAGTCGTTATTTCCCAACAACGGTAAGTACCTGGGATTTAAATAATTTTCACTGGATTTGCCCTGTCTCACCACTAATGCACTTTTACAAAATGAAAAAGGCACCTGCCATTCAGCATGTCCAACGTTACCTTGTACATTTAAATGATACATTCTGGTCTTTGTTCATGTGAATGCACACTTAATATAATTGTAGTCCTACTCCAAGAAACCTTCCCAAGATTTGCTTTCATAATTCCATTGTAAATTCTGGCTATAGCACTTGGTAATGTGGTGGATTGGAGGAATGTGCTGGGCTCCATCTAAACACACATGATGAAGAGAGGACCCTTCAACCCACAATGTTTAAATACATAAACAAAACCTTTTCATATCAATCAGGGTTTTAAATGATGACGAATTTCCCAATCATCAACTACAGATGTGTAGAAATTCATAGAATTTCTCAAACATTGATTATACATTAATACTTGACTGCACTCTATGGGCCTAAACTAAGTCAATGTTGTATCCTAGGATTGGTGTAAGATATGGCTATTTGAGCGAGTGTTTCCTTCCAATACTACCGAATGCTGTAGTACCTAGAATGTAACTCGGTTGCATACACTTCCTCTTCCCCTCTAGTGAGCTTGAATAAACTTAAATTCAAAACTGCAGTCTCTTGAGAGCCTAGACCAACATTTAGCTATTAAATAATATCCTTTTTAAAGATAGGAAATGAAACCAAGATGCTCTTTTGCTTTACAGTTCAGTTTGTATTGTTTAAAAGATCAATGTTTCCAGGTAATCTGCATTAAACATGATCGATATCAGTGACCTGTTCCCCTCATGAAACTGCTTAATTGTGGTTTATATAGAACTTCAGTAGACAGAAGCCCTGTTCTATTCCCAGGAAAATGAAATTTAGTATATTCACTTTCACCTAGGAAACTATGAACTTGTTGACTTCTTCCTCTTACAAAATAGAGAATAAAGAGAAGAGTTGAAAATGAGGTATCTAAAAGTAGATAGCCCAAGGAATGAAAATGCTCCCTAAAGAGAAATGGGGGAAGGGTTTAATTTAATCTGATTAAAAGAGACTACATATACTAGAGTGTAGCAGGCTCAGAGCTACTCTTTGTTTAACACGGTGTGATAACAGATGTACACACACACACACACACACAGAGAGAGAGAGAGGGAGAGAGAGAAGAGCGCATTACCTAGAACCTGGCTGTGCAGGTAGTCCTCCTCTTTCCTACTTTCTACTGTTTAAGGCATCCCTGTCTCACTTGTGCAGATTAGGGCCGTTCCTGAGTGCTGGTGACATTGTGGTCCCAGTACACACCCAGGAGATGTGCTTAACCAGATTACTTCTTCAGTAGATGAGTTCTATATAGAACAGATTCCTGGGTAAAAGAATTAAGGATAATTTCTTCTGGATTGTGGTTTTTCCCTTGTTGTTACCAGTTCATGGGATCTTGGGGTTTTTTGTTGTTGTTATTTTTTGTTGCATTTTTTACAGATCATTACTTCTTGCCAAAGTCTAATGTGTTTTGAGCATAGTCAGTGGAACTATGGAAAACTTGTAAATCTCTTATATGTTGCAATTTGTAACACAAGCTTATGTCAAACATCAGATGGCAATCTTTTCTACTTTTTATTTTAGTAGACAAGTAGTAATTATATGCATTTATGGAACACAGCATATTTTAATATATGTTTATGTTGTGGAATGATTACATTAAGTTATCTATAATTTCACATGGTTAAAATATATCTGCAATGGAAACAAAGTCTCCTTTTGGCAAACTTGAAATATACAACACATATAAGCTGTAATCAGCATGTTACACATTCCAGTTCAAAAACCTACCCTTTCATTGTAATAGGACTTTGCATGCTTTGACCAGAATCCTCTCTTTCCCCTGGCTCCCTGCTATCTTGGCCTATGATCTTCACTTTCTAAGTTTCCACACACAAGTAAAATCTTGCAGTATTGGTCTTCTATGTCTGGCTTATTTTGCTTTTTCAAAATGCCCTCCAGGTTGCCCTATCTTGCTTCTTTTAAGTTTCCAAATAGTATTCCAGTTACATGTATAATTATATAATATTGAAAATGAATGCATATATTTATTATTTTTCATTAATTCATCTGTGCGTGACATTTATCATGACACTGTGTATTGGCTGTTATGAATGGTGCTATGATGTAGGGAAGTACACATAGGCTGTGGCACACTAATTTTCTTTCATTATATGTTGAATCATGTGACAGTTCTCTTAATTCTTTGGGGGAACCGTCAGCCATTATCTACAATTAGAATACAATGGCTAAACTAAGTTACATTCCCAACAATAGACTGTAAGGATTCCCTTTTCTCCAAATCTGTGCCAAACCTTGTTATCTCTTGTCTTCTTGATATTGGTGATCTTTAACAAAGGTGAGTTCACAACTCACTGTAGATTGAATTTGCATTTCTTGGACAATTACTATCATTGAGCATTTTTTCACATATATCTTGACCTATATGCCTTTTAAGATATGCCTATTAAGTGTGCTGTCCATTTTAAGTGGACTGTATGTATTTTATGCTTGAGTTCCTTACATGTTCTTGACATTAATCTCTTGTCAGGTGAATGGTTAGTAATTATGTTTACACACTTTGCACTTGCCGTGTTACTTGGCTAATTGCTTCTCTTGCTGAGTGGAAGCATTTAGTTTGATACAGTCTGATTTGTCAATTTATCATTTTCCTGTATTTTTTCTTGGAATCTACTCTTGCAATAAAATTAGGTGTGATGTTAGTTTTTCTATTTGAGAATAATCTTTGTCAAATTCAGCATAACACCTTTTGTTCTGTTTTCTTCTGAAATTTTTATGGTTTCAGACTATCCAGTTAAGTAATCAATTTTGAGTTGACTTTGGAATGTGTGAGGTAGTGGTCATCTCTGAAGAAAACTCCCCATTTCAACAGCCATTCTACCTCTAGACATTCCTCTTTGGTGGAACCTTGTGAACTTGATTTTTTTTGAGAGTTTCTAGTAATGTAGAGAAATACCATTAGTTTTTGTATATTGATCTTATATCCTTAATTTTACTGAATTTAATCAGCCCTGATTTTTTGTTTTATTTTGGTGGCATTTCTAGCATGTTCTGTCAATAAAGACACATTGTCTGTATCTTAACTTCCTTTCCTATGTGAAGGCCTTTTGGTTCTGGTATAGACTGGGACTTGGAATGGCCTGAAGTCTGGGGACACGGAGGTTGGTCTGGTGCTGAGTAGGTCTAGAGGCCAAGACATCATAGGGACTGAGACCATTGTCTCTGAGCTGGTATTAGGGGGGGGTTATACTCTAAGGCTCTGAGATTACTCCAGTATGGAGTGGAAAAGAGACTGAGTTGTGGGGAAATTGTAGAACCTTGGGCTGCTGGACCAGACTAGCTCTGTGCAGTCCTCATAATTCAACTAGAGGCTGAGGCAATGGGAGCTCATCTTGTCCTCACATAGATTTTCCTGGGCATATGTGTCTGTGGGCTCGTTCCCTATCCTGACTCTAAGCAGAGGGCATCTGTCTCCAAGTTGCATTGCCTGGGTTTGGAGAGAGGGTGATACGTGAGGCATATGATTTTCGTCATTGTATCTTAACCTGTAGCCTACACAGATGTGCTGTGTAATCACTCATTTGGAGTTCTTAGGCCTGGTGAAGTTATTTCTAGGGTAGATAATTGTTCAATCTGATATTTTATGGGAGGAAGAGCATCAGAAAGTCTTGTCCCACCATCTTGCTAACTTACCTCACAGTCCAAAACAGTGATCATCTTAACTGTACTTGTAAATGTCACTTTTATCTTGAAATAGTAGCTTCCAAAGTCAGGCTTTGAAAAATTCCACTACCTAAGCCCAATTTTAATAAGTTAAAATTGAGATAGGAAAATTGAGAAAATAGAAAAGTGATAGTGTTCTAGTTAGGATTTCTATTGAAATGGCTTTCAACAATAATGATTTTTCACCTACATGCATCTTATATAATACTTGCAAATAATAACACAAACATAAATCATGAATATTCATAAGAGAATAATAATAATGCTTATCTCTTATTTGTTTCAGTGTGCTTAATTCAAGCTGTCAATTAGATGGGTGACCTCTGTGGGTAGAAACAGACAAGTGTATAGATGCTGATCTTGCGTATTGACAATGAAAACTTCCATGCTTAACGTAATTGTTTCATTCCTATATGTTTGGAGAGTTGTTAGTTAATGCTGTGAGCTGTTTGAAAATTATTAAAATTTTATTTTGTCCTTTATATCAACTTCTGGTGCTCAGTGTTTGCTGAGTTGTGGAAGTCACTGAAATGGCAATAAATGTTGTATTTTGTGAGAAGAGTATGTATAAAGGAATCTAGACAGAGTCTCACACACATTAACAGTATGCCCTCTGATGCCTCACTGCTGACTTAGTTACCTCATCTACCAAGGGAGAGCTCTGCTAGACAGTAATTAATGTTGTTTTAAGTGCTAATAGTTTTGTATTTTTAAGTGGAGCACTGAGGCTTCATCTGGTAAGTGAAATAAATCCTTTCTACTGTACAAGTCAGTGATAAAACCTTACAGACGTCCACCCATTGAGGATTATCTCAATGTTCATGCCAGCCTTTCTTTTGCAGCTGCTGCGAGTCTCTCCCTGTGAATGATTCACAAGTATTGCACACCTAATTCAGAACATGCTTTACTTTATTCCCACAACTGAACTTGCTCTCTTCCTATATGTGTTATCTCAACTGTTAACGAAACCTATCCTCCTGGCCACCCATGGACAGAATCTTACAATGATACTTGGTGTCAGGATCCCAGAGTGAATCAAATAATGAACTCAAATTAGGAAATGATGGTTGAGGATCACTTGATGAAGGTATTGTTTATGAAGTTGAGGTTAGAGAAAATGCAGGACACTATGGTGTCATAGTGCTAGTGACAATGAAATTATTTAGTATCCTGGGCCCAGAGGTTGTGGAAAGGGTTGGTGGGTTGAACCCAAAA